ACTACTACGACTATCACGACTACAACTACTAAAATTCTGAGTGCTACGATTACGACCAGAACTATACTACTCCTGCGACTACTACTACTACTACTACTACTACTACTACTACTACTACTACTACTACTACTACTACTACTACTACTACTACTACTACTACTACTACTACTACTACGAAGGCTGGCGACAGTCGGCTTGCGCACTTTCACATATAGTATTACCCTGTGACGTACCCAGCCCATTTGTATCAATGGAAACGATGAGTTGGCCGAAACTTGCATGGACAATCAACTTGATGTGTAAGCTACTTGGGACACGCGCCTATGGCATGATGCGCAGGAGAACCATACAAGAACGTGGGGCGACAGCTACAGGCTCGAAGAAGACATGGGGAGTCGGGAACGCAGAGCAGGAGAAAAACGTGCGGAAAGCCGAACCATCAGCACGGCAGCAGCAGAGGGAAGGTGACTGCAGGAGGAGAACAAGGACGAAAGCGGCGTCTAATTTGAGTCTGCGGTGGGTACCAACTGTGCTGTGCCCCTCAGCAGCCCTCGACAGTGACGACACTTTCGCACATCGCAGCCCACCAGGGATGGCGACGTCTAACTTGAATCTGCGTGTGGCGTCACTGTGCTGGGCCCCCCAGCAGGCCTCGAAAGTGGCGACAGGTTCACAGATCGCAGCCCCCCAGGGATGGCGAGGTCGAGTTTGAATCCGCGGTGAGCACCCACTGCGCTGGGCCCCCCAGCAGGCCTCACAAGAGGCGGCAGTTTCACAGATCGCAGCCCCCCAGGGATGGCGAGGTCGAATTTGAATCCGCGGTGGGTACCCACTGTGCTGGGCCCCCCAACAGGCCCCGAAAGTGGCGACAGGTTCACAGATCGCAGCCCCCCAGGGATGGCGAGGTCTAATGTGAATCCGCTGTGAGTACCCACTGTGCTGGGCCCCCCAGCAGGCCTCGAAACTGGCAACAGTTTCACAGATCGCAGCCCCCCAGAGATGGCGACGTCTAACTTGTATCCGCGGTGGGTACCCCTTGTGCTGGGCCCCCCAGCAGGCCTCGAAAGTGGCGACAGTTTCACAGATCGCAGCCCCCCAGGGATGGCGAGGTCTAATTTGAATCCGCGGTGAGTACCCACTGTGCTGGGCCCCCCAGCAGCCCTCGAAACTGGCGACGGTTTCGCAGATCGCAGCCCCCCAGCTGGCACGCAGCGACGAGCGAGGCAACAGGCATGGGGGAAGAGAGGGGGGGGAAGGAGGCAAGGAGACGCGCGAGCTGTGCTCTATTCAAAACGAGAACCCAACGCAGGAGGGTTGGGAATTACCCTGTGACGTACCCAACCCATTTGCATCAAAGGAAACGAGGAGTTGGCCGAAACTTGCATGGACAATCACCTTGATGTGTAAGCTACTTGGGATACGCGCCTATGGCATGATGCGCAGGAGAACCATACAAGAACGACGGGCGACAGCTACAGGTTCGAAGAGAACATGGGGAGTCGGGAACGAAGAGCAGGAGAAAAACGTGCGGAAAGCCGAACCATCAGCACGGCAGCGGCGTCTAATTTGAGTCTGCGGTGGGTACCCACTGCGCTGTGCCCCTCAGCAGCCCTCGAAAGCGGCGACAGTTTCACAGATCGCAGCCCCCCAGGGGTGGCGACGTTTAACTTGAATCTGCGTGTGGCGTCACTGTGCTGGGCCCCCCAGCAGGCCTCGAATGTGGCGACAGTTTCACAAGTCGCAGCCCCCCAGAGATGGCGAGGTCTAATTTGAATCTGCGTGTGGCGTCACTGTGCTGGGCCCCCCAGCAGGCCTCGAAAGTGGCGACAGGTTCACAGATCGCAGCCCCCCAGGGATGGCGAGGTCGAGTTTGAATCCGCTGTGAGTACCCACTGTGCTGGGCCCCCCAGCAGGCCTCGAAAGTGGCGACGTTTTCACAGATCGCAACCCCCCAAGGATGGCGAGGTCTAATTTGAATCCTCGGTGAGTACCCACTGTGCTGGGCCCCCCAGCAGCCCTCGAAAGTGGCGACAGTTTCACAAATCGCAGCCCCCCAAGGATGGCGACGTCTAACTTGTATCCGCGGTGGGTACCCCTTGTGCTGGGCCCCCCAGCAGGCCTCGAAAGTGGCGACCGTTTCACAGATCGCAGCCCCCCAGGGATGGCGAGGTCTACTTTGAATCCAGGTGAGTACCCACTGTGCTGGGCCCCCCAGCAGGCCTCGAAACTGGCGACAGTTTCACAGATCGCTGCCCCCCAGCTGGCACGCAGCGACGAGCGAGGCAACAGGCAAGGGGGAAGAGAGGGGGGGGAAGGAGGCAAGGAGACGCGCGAGCAGAGCTCTATTCAAAACGAGAACCCAACGCAGGAGGGTTGGGAAAATTACCCTGTGACGTACCCAACCCATTTGCATCAAAGGAAACGAGGAGTTGGCCGAAACTTGCATGGACAATCAACTTGATGTGTAAGCTACTTGGGATACGCGCCTATGGCATGATGCGCCGGAGAACCATACAAAAACGAGGGGCGACAGCTACAGGTTCGAAGAGAACATGGGGAGTCGGGAACGCAGAGCAGCAGAAAAACTTGCGGGAAGCCGAACCATCAGCACGGCAGCAGCAGAGCGAAGGTGACTGCAGGAGGAGAACAAGGACGAAAGCGGCGTCTAAGTTGAGTCTGCGGTGGGTACCCACTGCGCTGTGCCCCTCAGCAGCCCTCGAAATTGGCGACATTTTCACAGATCGCAGCCCCCCAGGGATGGCGACGTTTAACTTGAATCTGCGTGTGGCGTCACTGTGCTGGGCCCCCCAGCAGGCCTCGAATGTGGCGACAGTTTCACAAGTCGCAGCCCCCCAGAGATGGCGAGGCCTAATTTGAATCTGCGTGTGGCGTCACTGTGCTGGGCCCCCCAGCAGGCCCCGAAAGTGGCGACGGTTTCACAGATCGCAGCCCCCCAGGGATGGCGAGGTCGAATTTGAATCCGCGGTGAGTACCCACTGTGCTGGGCCCCCCAACAGGCCCCGAAAGTGGCGGCAGCTTCATCAATCGCAGCCCCCCAGTGATGGCGAGGTCTAACTTGAATCCGCGGTGAGTACCCACTGTGCTGGGCCCCCCAGCAGGCCTCGAAAGTGGCGACAGTTTCACAGATCGCAGCCCCCCAGGGATGGCGAGGTCTAATTTGAATCTGCGGTGAGTACCCACTGTGCTGGGCCCCCCAGCAGGCCTCGAAAGTGGCGACAGTTTCACAGATCGCAGCCCCCCAGGGATGGCGAGGTCTAATTTGAATCCGCGGTGAGTACCCACTGTGCTGGGCCCCCCAGCAGCCCTCGAAAGTGGCGACAGTTTCGCAGATCGCAGCCCCCCAGCTGGCACGCAGCGACGAGCGAGGCAACAGGCAAGGGGGAAGAGAGGGGGGGGTGAAGGAGGCAAGGAGACGCGCGAGCAGCGCTCTATTCAAAACGAGAACCCAACGCAGGAGGGTTGGGAAAATTACCCTGGCGACGTATCCAAGCCCTGCGCAAAAGCGGGGCGCAGATAGTTACTGATAGTTTAGGATACTTACAAGGGGGCGATGACGGAGCGAGGGATGTCTGCAGACGGAATTCGGGAGACTCGCAGGACACTGGCTACACGAAAAGGGCTTGATAAAGCTGATGAGTTACAATTCCTGAGCACTCCTAGCCACTTCGAAAACGGGGATCACAGCAGGCCTCGAAAGTGGCGACAGTTTCACAATTCGCAGTCCCGCAGGGATGGCGAGGTCTAATTTGGGTCCGCGCGTGGCGTCACTGTGCTGGGCCCCCCAGCAGGCCTCGAAAGTGGCGACAGTTTCACAGATCGCAGCCTCCAGGGGATGGCGAGGTCTCATTTGGATCTGCCCGTGGCGTCACTGCGCTGGGCCCCCCAGCAGGCCTCGAAAGTGGCGACAGTTTCACAGATCGCAGCCCCCCAGGGATGGCGAGGTCGAATTTGAATATGCCCGTGGCGTAACTGTGCAGAGCCCCCCAGCAGGCCTCGAAAGTGGCGACAGTTTTGCAGATCGCAGCCCCCCCAGAGATGGCGAGGTCTAATTTGAATCCGCGCGTGGCCCTCACTGTGCTGGGCCCCCCAGCAGGCCTCGAAAATGGCGACAGTTTCACAGATCGCAGCCCCCCAGGGATGGCGAGGTCTAATTTGAATCCGCGCGTGGCCCTCACTGTGCTGGGCCCCCCAGCAGGCCTCGAAAGTGGCGACAGTTTCACAGATCGCACCCCCCCAGGGATGGCGAGGTCTCATTTGAATCTGCCCGTGGCCCTCACTGTGCTGGGCCCCCCAGCAGGCCTCGAAAATGGCGGCAGTTTCGCAGATCGCACCCCCCCAGGGATGGCGAGGTCTAATTTGAATCCGCGCGTGGCCCTCACTGTGCTGGGCCCCCCAGCAGGCCTCGAAAGTGGCGACAGTTTCACAGATCGCAGCCCCCCAGGGATGGCGAGGTCTAATTTGAATCTGCCCGTGG